TTGTTGTCAATCCTGCCCAAAGAAATTGTATCAATAAAATTGCTATTGAAAAGCTACATTACATTTCTCAGTAAGGAGTTGGTAATGTCACTATTGTTTTATTTATTTTTATTAAATTTTTTTTTTCACTGTGTCTGATTTGGAACAAGCTGAATTCTATTTTGATTCCTAAGGAAAAGTAACCTTTTTTATCCTTCCAGTCAAAAACAAATGACAGCTTCAACTTTCAATACTGGCAGGTTAAGCATGGTAATCAATGGCTAGGTGTGCCTCATTTTGGGTGGTTCTTTGCCTCCAAGTTATGAATTTAAATGTTTAATTCACCTACTGTGAATTACCCCTTATGTGTCATGTCAGCATTTTCTCCTGATACTGACCCTCAGTCCCATCAGCCTCTGCCTGTTCCTCGCGTTGCTTCTGCTTGAACTTCATGTTGCCGTAGTGCATGATGGCACCAATCAGCTTGTAGATGCTGTTCTTCTCCTCTTGGGTGAAGCCCAACACATCAAACGCTTCCTACAGCAAATGTACAGTGTGTCTAATAATTCATTGCATTACATTGAATGTTATATGGACTTCAGTTCTAAAACTTGAGAAGTCAAGTATCAACAGATTTACGCATGTTTTGGATAACGCACATCTGTAGCCATCAGCTCGTCAGCATCATTAATAGAGGCCACTTGTGTCTCTCCTTGAGAGATGTAGGCATAATCGTAAGGGTTTGCTGTGATCAGCAGCATCTCTGAGAGGATAAAATGATATTTTACAACTTTGCATCTCATCACTTGCAGTTTTGTTACCAAAGTTGTGATTTTGCTTACCCAGAAGTTCTGGTTTCTTCTGGGACAGGATCTGGTAGAAGATGTGGTAGTCTCTCTCAGCCTTGAGCTGGAAAGTCACAGAAGACTTCTCCAGAAGATCTGTTCATAGAATTTAGAATTCACAAAATAAGCATTGTATCTAAATGGGGACATTCCATAGTCTAATGCAGGTCATCTTACATGTCAGTTGATTGTGATGAACATGAAGCAGAGCAACAACTGATGTAGCCAATACAGTGCAGTTAGAATGCCCCTAAAATTCAAGATATTGGGGCAAAATTGCCCCTGTATACGTTTTTGTCTCATATTTATTTCATATGATATAGTTAAGCAATATCACATGAGCAACGAGTGTAATATCACAACAGTGCTGTTTTTCCTGAATAGCACAAGTGCAAATGCAATACTCATTTTATACAACAGTTCAATAATTAATCTTATATTGTGTTTTATTTTAGACAGAATATTGTCTGTTTTTGGTCAATTTTACGAATGACAATATTACCTATAAAGCCCCAGCAGAACTGTTGTGCGTCTCCGAGCAACACACAGCGGTGTGTCATTTCTTAATGAATCAGCTTTTTGAACAAATCGAGTGAATCAATGATTCAGTGGCCCATTCATAAAGAGAGCCATTTACTTCTGAATGAATCAGCCGTTTGAACGAATTGAATGAATGAATGACTCAAAGACTCATTGAATCATTTACCGCTACCTACTAGCAGATTTAGTGTTTTATTTAGAGTATCATTTCATTAAAAATAATTTCATATTTCCATATTAATAAAAAATAATAATAATAAAGGGATACACTCTTAAAAATAAAGGTGCTTAAAGGGTTCTTCACAGCGATGCCATAGAAGAACCATTTTTGGTTTCACAAAGAAGCACTTTTGCCCAAATGGTTATCATAAAGCTTAGCTTTGAATGTTGCATCACTGGCTTTGGGGAACATGCACTCCTCTTCAAGGATGGACATGATACCCATGGGCTAGCAAACAATAGAGAAAGGAGTTTCAAATTAGCTGAGAATTGTTGATCCAATACCTGATATCTCTCAAATTTAAAAAGTCCATGCCAAAGTCAATGAACACCCATTCAATGCCCTCCTTCCTGTATTCCTCTTGCTCCAACACAAACATGTGATGGTTGAAGAACTCAACTTTTCATTAGTGAAGTTGATGCACAGCTGCTCAAAGGTGTTGTGCTGCAGGTGGAATATATTGTATAATCACACTGACAGAGTAGCAAAGAACTGAAGATCTTGAATAACAGTAATCAGTAGATGTAATCTTACATCAAAGATCTCAAATCCAGCAATGTCCAGCACACCAACCAAGTACTGACGAGGCTGTTTGGTGTCCAGGGATTGGTTGATTCTCACAACCATCCAGAGGAACATCTTCTCATACACTGACTTTGACAGAGCACCAATGGCATAGTACACCTGCCCAATAAACATTAAAATGTTACAGAAAAATGCATTTTTATGGTTGTTAACAATATGTTAATGATGAAGGGATGTTAATCGAGTAGTAGTCTTCACCTGCTGAATATTCTGTCCCTTGGTGACCCACTCATTCCCTACTTTGACTCTTGGGTGGCAGAGAGCCTTAATGAGATCAGCAGAGTTCAGGCCCATCAGATAAGCTGCTTTATCAGCATCTGTTGCCAAAAATAGAATTAGAATAGAATGGTTAATGGTAACACATTTCTTGCCTAATCAAAATCACAGAAACTTGTTGTCAATCCTGCCCAAAGAAATTGTATCAATAAAATTGCTATTGAAAAGCTACATTACATTTCTCAGTAAGGAGTTGGTAATGTCACTATTGTTTTATTTATTTTTATTAAAAAAAATTTTTCACTGTGTCTGATTTGGAACAAGCTGAATTCTATTTTGATTCCTAAGGAAAAGTAACCTTTTTTATCCTTCCAGTCAAAAACAAATGACAGCTTCAACTTTCAATACTGGCAGGTTAAGCATGGTAATCAATGGCTAGGTGTGCCTCATTTTGGGTGGTTCTTTGCCTCCAAGTTATGAATTTAAATGTTTAATTCACCTACTGTGAATTACCCCTTATGTGTCATGTCAGCATTTTCTCCTGATACTGACCCTCAGTCCCATCAGCCTCTGCCTGTTCCTCGCGTTGCTTCTGCTTGAACTTCATGTTGCCGTAGTGCATGATGGCACCAATCAGCTTGTAGATGCTGTTCTTCTCCTCTTGGGTGAAGCCCAACACATCAAACGCTTCCTACAGCAAATGTACAGTGTGTCTAATAATTCATTGCATTACATTGCATGTTATATGGACTTCAGTTCTAAAACTATCAACAGATTTACGCATGTTTTGGATAACACACATCTGTAGCCATCAGCTCGTCAGCATCATTAATAGAGGCCACTTGTGTCTCTCCTTGAGAGATGTAGGCATAATCGTAAGGGTTTGCTGTGATCAGCAGCATCTCTGAGAGGACAGAAATATGTTTTAATACTAATACAAAAACAACTTTGTCTTACCCAGCAGTTCTGGTTTCTTCTGAGACAGGATCTGGTAGAAGATGTGGTAGTCTCTCTCAGCCTTGAGCTGGAAAGGGATTTGGAAAGGGACACGGGCTTTCTCTAACAGATCTGTTTGTATAAATGCAGAAGTATAGCTTTTACCATCAGCTCATTCACTGGCAGCAAAGTGAATGCGGATGAACTTGCCCTGTTTAAAACAACAGTCATCAATGTAATTGCATTGGGGTAAAAGAAAAAAAAAACATTCCGTATGTTTTAAAACAGGAGGTATACAACTCACAAAACGAGATGAGTTGTCATTTCTGATGGTCTTGGCATTCCCGAAAGCCTCTAGAGCAGGATTACACTGGATGATTTGATCTTCCAGAGTACCTTAGAAAAACAGACAGATATAGACAGTAAAAAAATAGAGCAGAGAATTTTGTGGTTTAGCTGATTGTTAGAATAAAGTTTTTTTTTTTATTATGTTAATGTAAATTACTCTACAAACATACACCTTTGACCTCATTACCTCAGTATTTTAGCAAAATTGACTTCTTCTTTTTTTTGTAATAAAGTATGAGTGACCCCTGCTGGCTTTATGTTTGCGTCTTCTTTCATTTTGAGACCACAGCTTTCCCCTGTCAAATAAACTCTTCTCATGCGGGAGAAAAGCTGTGTGTGTGTGTGTGTGTGCGCGTGTGTGCGTGTCTGTGTGTGTGTGTGTGTGTGTGTGGAATCCCACAGTTTCTAAAGTGCAGAGGGAATATTATTTAAAAGTTTTCTGTTTCAGGTACAGTACTGTATGTTCATCGAGTAACACTGTTTATTGACGCTTCTTATAGGCAAACTCACGCTATGCCACGAACCAGTCTGATTTAAACTATAAGAGTACTCTGCTGAGAGATAAGCAGATGTATGTGCATGAGGAAATATCATAATTGTTTTAAAAAATAAATAAATAACACAATGCATGAGAACAGTTCCCGTATCTCTTTTGATTTGAGCTCCATCAGATCAGGCATGTTACAGGAACATTCTGTTGCCTGTCAGGGACTATTTTTCTAGCGGAAGGACGGCATTTAATGATTTAACTTTAAAAAGTATTATATAATACATATATTTTGCCTTTACTCAAGTAAAAGTAAAATTGTACCATTAAAGTATAACCTAGCTAATTCATGTAATTTGTCACTTTATACCCCTTATCAATGCATATGTCTCTGAGCTTAAATCTTTGTTACATGGATCTGTTTCTAACCTTCTTATCACTCGAATCCTTCTTGCCACTACCAGCAGCAATGCTGGCGAAGTACTGAATGACTCTCTTGGTGTTCACAGTCTTTCCAGCACCAGATTCTCCACTGTCAACATAAACCAGGGTTAGAAATTTATGAAGAACTAATTTGTAAAAATTAACAAATAAAGTCAAGATCTAACTAAAACTCTGAAAATCTTACGTGATAAGAATAAACTGGTTTTGTCTGTTAAAAAAAATCTAATTCTAAATATGAATGTAATGTGCATAGTAAATGAATATTAAATTATTTTCACTAGTTATTGACTTATAGCCTGTGCTGTTTTTTTAAAGGCAGGTTGTATATAAAATATGTAGAGAAATGTTACGTTGACGCACCTGACAGCATGTACTGGTAGGCGTTGTCTGAGATGGAGAAGCGGCATCCCCATCTTTCACCCTGCACACAAGTGCATACACACAGATTACTATAAGAGATATTATATATAGGAGCCTATTTGGACACATGTTGATAGTTAATGCTATTCTGAACACCTGTGTGAAGAGAGAGCTGACTTCTACATCCACTAAAAATCACCGAAACACCAGCTGATTCAAACACGCTTAGCAAAGATGAGTGAAGAGAAAAGATCCTGCAGCATTTGTGATCCACAGATACAGATACTACATCTATTGCAACATTCAGACATTTATAAATGTGTCATAATAATGTGGGACCACTGTATATGGCAATGTGTGGTAGTAACCTCTGAGATTAGTCTGTTGCAGTCAGTGATGTTGCATTGAGTTTTTTCAGGGTCACTTACCTTTGTACTTAACCTCTCCAGACACTGATGGTTTACTGTCCTAGGGACACACAAAAAAACATATATAAAGCAGAATTACTTAACATCAAACATTTGTCTCCTGTCTGCTACTTTATAGTCAATAATGAGCAAAAGTGCATACTGAACTCTCTGTGCCTGAAGGAATTGTTAATAAGACCAGGCTTTCATGACGTCTGAGGCGTCCTTGATGGCTTACCGTTTGATGATACAATAGAAAACCTGTCTGAAGCCATTGACTCTCCACCCCTTTTTATAATGTTAGAGGTCCTCTAAATATGGTTGCAGGAATTTTCTGAAGCATGTTAGTGTCTCAGTTTGGTTAGGATACGAATGGGCTGGGTGTCTGCTGGAGGCAGGGGCACGTTTTTGTTTTTTTGTATAGGGTGTGATTTATGCCAGTAAGGAACAGTATACTTTGTCATTTAATGTACTTTCAATTGACTAATTTACCCTTTAAATTACAGTCTTAAATGCAATGTCTTATCTGTTAAATAGGTTTCTTGTAAGGTAAGTGAATTCAGGAGAAGATTTTGGCTGCTGGCACAAATGTTTCTGCTCACTGCAAAAGAAATGATTTTCTTACTTAGGATTTCTGTCTTGTTTTCCATTACAATTCTTAAATCAAGATACATTTACTTGAGACGCATAATGAAATAAGATATTAGGTTGAGTTTTTGCTTAAAATGAGAAAAAAATATCTGCCAATGGGGCAAGAGAAAAAAAATATTGTTTTCCCTTTGAATTAAGATTTTTTTTTTTTTATCCCACTGGCAGACATTTTTTCTTGTTTCAAGGAAAAATGTTCATATAATTTTTCAGAAAACACACTGTCAATTTGCTTCTCAAGTAAATGTATCTCGATTCAAGAATGTTTAGATATTTACACTTGGAAAACAAGACAAAAATACTACGAAAATCATTTTTGCAGTGATGTATTTTACAATTGCGCCTATGAACTAGTCGCTAATGTGAATTTTGTGGATTAAAATGTCTGCTAAACTAAAAAAAGAGAATGGTTTTTACAGCAGTTGGCAGGTGTTTGCTCAAAAAGGAATACATCTCATTGTTTGTATCAACTGATCTGTACCTTGCTCAAGGACAAGCCAAGTGTCATTTCACTCTGTCCATCATAGATGCTTTTTATCCGCTCGAGCAGCCGCAGCTGAGTCCGTAACGGCAAGGTCAGTTTCCAGCTGGTGCAGTCGCTTCACTCAGGCCTCATCGCTGACACGCCATTGTTCCTTTGCCTCCACACTTGAGGACAAAGATAACCTGTGAAATTCTTGTTGGGTGCTTCTAATTGATTGAGAAGAACAGCTTGCGTGATCTCTGCTACTAGCATCCATTTATGTATGTCTACATAAATGGACACGGCAGGCCGATATCATTGCCTGAGTAAATTAATGTATACACAACATCTTCTCAATGACAGGAGCAGTGTCTAATTTGTCCAGTTTGGCAGACAATTTTTAGCTTTTTTGATATCAGCAGAGTTGCTAGAACATAAGTCATTCAACTAGACACCATCAATCAACCATACAGGTGCATTATTTTCACACTGAATTTTTGGGCGTCCAGTTGCACAGTGTTGACCGCTGAGTTCAGATATGCAGATATGCCTCTGCATAAAGTGCATCTTCAGTCAAATTTCACTACACAGCATCCAACACCAAACACCTCTGTTCACTCCTAATTGCTTAAATGGATAGTTCAACCAAAAATAAAAATTCTGCGATCACTTACCCTCATTTCGTTCCAATCTGTATACATTTCGTCCCTCTGTGGAAAATGAAAGAACATATTTAGAAGAACAACACTGGATCCCATTGACCTTCATTGTATGGACAAAAACACAGGGACGTTTTTAAAATACATTTAAAGTGAAAAAAGGAAATCATTTAAGTTTGAAACTTGAGAGGGTGAGAATTATCATTTTTAGTGAACAATCTACTGAATTTGAGATACCGATATTCTAATGCAGTCACTTCATGCTAATTGTGCTATTTTCATTTTCATATTTTTAACCTAAAACTACTGAACTCTATCATCAGCTCTTTGAAGACATGTATACAACAGCTACGTGCACTACGCACCATCAACTTTCGTTGTTTGCACTGAAACATATGGAGGTCTGTGGCAGACTATCAGTCATCCTCTTACCACTGTCTTGTTTGTTCCACATTGTTTCCTTCCCATTGTCCTTGAGTACAAAGATAACCCTGTGAAATTCCTACAGAGCCTCTGACAAAATGGGAGCAACTGCTGACGGACATTGAGAACACATAAAGCAGATGCCCCGTTTGCAAAGGTCTCCAAGCGCATAAATAAACGTCAAGTGGTACATGTTGGCACCCTTGCAAGCCATATACATACTACTTAAGTTACATGGCCAACTGAGGCAAAACGACGCCGGTCACAAGACAAGTGTTTATTATTAACCAACAAGCAGCATTGTATTGAGTTAAAGTTGAAAGACCGAAACAGAAGAAGTAGTCATTGTTTGTTTTCTTGGCATAACCATTTGTTCGGTTTGCATAGTGGAAAATTGGTAACAATTTATTTTACATTCGTGTTTCGCATGTACATACGTAATTACAATAACTTGGTAACCCTGAACCTATCCCTAAGCCTAACCCATGTAGTTAGCTTACATTATGCAGTACTTACTTAGGTAAGTACACTGTAAGTAAAGGTCATTGCATGTACTATAAAATAAAGTGCAACCAAAAAATGAGTTCATTAAGCAAATGAACAAAGATCAATTCATATAAAATATGATATTCATCTGTTATTCTCGTTACTGGATGTCTGAAGGGGTCAACTGGCTGTTAAGACCATTTGTTAACCAAAAGGATGAGAGGTGAAAGTTTAAGATGCTGCTAGATGTCTTTTAAATCACAAGGGTCTTCTCACAGTCTTGTGAGATGTCAAGCCAGCAGTTATTCTCCTGATTTACGGCAATATGTCTCAAGTACATTCTGCTGTGGTTTAAGGTTGCAGGATGGTTGGTTCCTCTGTGAACCTTTGAGGAGCTCCTCCCTATATTCAGACTCCACCTCCAGCACTGTTCTTCACCTTCAACACTAAGGTTTACCCGCATACAGTTCATACAGCGTTCAGCCTGGCAAGCAGCGGCTCTTCATCAAAGATCCACTGTTTAATTTAGAAGTTTTCAATTTGATTTGTTGAATATATTAATCGTTTGATTTGTTTTGCAGGTCTCAAGCCGTATGCACTCGACAGAAAGGAGGACACTTGACGCAGGTGAGACAGATGAAATAAAGAAATACTGTAGTATTATCATTAAAAACATTTTAGTTATTTTTTTTATCTTGAACATTTACTGTGGATGTTTTGAGCATTATCCCTTTAATCACTTTCAGTGTGGAAGACGTTTAGAGGACACACTTTAGTCCATCAGAGATGCACCCTTCATATTTGGTAGACACCATGACTGCAACGATCTACCAAAGAAAAAGTCTTGGGTTTCATTCATGCAAGAAATAAGAAATAATGTGGTAGGTGCTTTTTTCATTCTAGAAGAAAATATAGCAAACGTTAAACTGTATTCTGTAAGACAATATACATATATTGTCAGTCGGGTAAAGCAGCATTTGTCATAAATTATGCAAGCACAGGGTTTCTACGCAGTTTGGAAAAGTATGGAATTTGATTTGAGTAATTTCCAGGTCTGGAAACGTATGGAAAAAAGAAAGCAGTGTATGGAAAAATATTTGCATTTCCAGACTTTTTGCCCCTATTTAGTTTTCTATAATAGAAAATTAAACGGATAGTTCACCTTCAGTTGCTCGTCCCCATTGACTTGTATAGTGTTTTTTTTTTCCATACTATGGAAGTCAATGGGGACCAGCAACTTAAAGTGAACTCAAACATATGAATTCAAGGTGCACTTTTTCATTCATCAAAAATGCAGGTTATAAGCGTTTTGGGTTTATTCTCACGATATTCTTTGCACCATATTACAAAGCCTCTAAAAGGATCTTTGCAAAAATTAAAAATATGCAGACTTATTGTGCCACAGAGTGTGTTAAAGCAGACTTAAAGGGATAGTTCACCCAAAAATGAAAATGTGATGTTTATCTGCTTACCCCCAGGGCATCCAAGATGTAACCGATATAAATACTGTTCAGTTTCTTGCTCAGACCGATTGTTTTGTGTCTTTTCACATCAATGTATCATCACGAGCCGCAGGGTTTAATTTGGTTTTGTTTGTGTATGTTTTATGACTCTCAAAGCCGTGATTCCCATCCACTGACATTATAGGACTGACAGACTGCAACGGTTTGAGTTAAAAATCTCCGTTTGTGTTCTACTGAAGAAACAAAGTCACCTACATCTTGGATGCCCTCGGGGTAAGCAGATAAACATCACATTTTAATTTTTTGGGTGAACTATCCCTTTAAGGCCTTGAAATATGACGTACTGCCCAAAAGAAAGCCTAATTTTGAACATGTTTCTACAGTACCAGTCTTTTTTATAGAACCTTGAACTTGGCAAATAGGACAATGCACACAGCTGTATTGAGCCATCAGCCCATTTTGTGCCATTGTTTCTCCTCCGCCACAGAGGATGCATTAAATTGGACATTAGGACTTATATTCGAGGTACTATCCTAAGGGAAGCCAACTTTTCTTTATTTTTTTTCACTCATTTTCTTCGTATTAAGATGGCAGTGACGCACAAAGGAAATAGGTTATAGTATATATAAAACTAGACATTGTAATGCGGAACCACACAAAAAAAAAATCCCATGCGTATGTCAATAGTTTCTCAAAGGCACAAAAAAAGTTTCTTGTGTGTGTGCAAAAGTCTGTTTTTAGGGGCTCTATATGTTGTCACTTCGAGAAAATCAATAAATAAACCCCTGAGAAAATAAAAATATTTGTATACATACAGACGTGCAGATGACTGTACTATATACCAAATATCAATTTGAAAAATAAATGTTAAATATGGTCTGGAAATCTACTGAGGTTTGGAAATTTGAGTCTGGAAAAGTGGAATTTTAAGATGGAAAATGTGTAGGAACCCTGCTTGCAACTTTTCTAATCAATATGAAATAAGCTTTTATAAGTAAAATGTCATGCGTAAGTTTTACCACCATAATGAGTTAGAAATTAACTTCAGTAAATTCATCATATGCAATGAATTGGAAAAGTAGTGCAAATTTCATGCACTACAAACATTCAGTTTCTTAATTAGTACATTTTTAAATTGGAATTTCAGGGAAAAAAGAAGATCAAAAAAGTGTATATCAATTATATTTACATGTATATAATGTTATTTAAATTGGAGCGATGGCCAATTTTTCAGATTTACTAAGTTACTGTATTGTTGGTTGCTAGCATTTCTACATTACTGCAGTATTTAACATGCTCCAGGAGGTTGAGCATGTGAATTGATCTGTCTGTATTCCCATTGGTAATCACTACAGCACTCTCGTTGTATTTTTTCATAAAGTTGAACTTAAATAGAGTTGACCACCAATAATCTCTGGTGCTTATGGTGCATCGAATTGCATATTCCCAATTAAAATGCATCTGGTCATTTGGAAAATTTGCAAAGATAAACTCATTTAGATCAAAATGTATTTTGAATAATTGAGCAAATGGATGACTAATGCAAAACCAATAAAATGTAAATATATACACAAATATATGGTTTACTCTGGGAAGCCTGTACGTTCCTATTAATAGGAAAGTGCCTACCAAATATCAAATAACTCTTTAAATCATTGTTTTGAAATATGACAGACCACAACAAAAAAAGTTTCATCTGCACACTTTATTCTAAAGAACTACAGGTAATGAAGTCAAGAAGCACGGAGTCAAACCAAACAAGCCTTTCAGAAAGATGCAAGTGAGAGCTTCATTCTTCATCGTGCCCTTTCTGTGAGAGGGAGAGGGAAGAGAAAGAAAAGAGTTTGGAAGGTATATATGTTATTTGTTTTAGTTTTTCCAATAAATCAAATCTTAGACTCACTTTGACGCTATACACAAGGAGACCCATAAAAGACAAAAAAAGCTTTAGGTCTGAAAAGTCTAGAAACTCATATTTACAAAATTCCAAATTACAAAAGTTCTCTTACTTTGAATGGTGAAAAGGTTAAACATTGTTCATTGCTCCACTGAGTCTTATAGTCTAAGATAGAATCACACCAAATATTGCGTAAAATTGAGATAACTTACCTTAGATCCTGTGTCCCGACTCTTAGCTCTCAGCTTGTTGACCTGAGATTCAGCAATATCAGCCCTCTCCTCTGCTTCATCCAGCTCATGCTGCATTTTACGGAACTTGGCCAGATTAGAATTAGCCTGTTCCTCCTGATTAAAACAAAAGGTTGTTGGCAAAGACAATGTACAGAACAGTATATATACAGTAAAGGGATGACGAAATGAACTCACCGCCTCCTCAGCAGCTCTCTTGTAGGACTTGACTTTCAGCTGGAGTTTATCCACGAGGTCTTGAAGGCGAGCCAGATTCTTACGGTCTTCCTCAGTCTGTTAATAGACCTTTGATTATTTTTGGTCTGGGTGGTTTGAGGATAGAGAAATCGTATTGAATAGTGAAAGTGACCTGGTAGGTGAGCTCCTTGATGCGTCTCTCATATTTACGAACTCCTTTCACAGACTCGCTCGCCTTTCTCTGTTCTATCTCCACCTCATTTTCCAGCTCTCTCACCTACCCAAACCGAAAATGTATACATTTTTTAGAAATCTATTGATCTCTGAACCCAAATTCTCATAACTAATATTCATCTTCACGAAAGTAAGGCATTTTGAATTAAAAAAACTAAACAATTAAGAACTGAGTTTGATAAACTAACCCTGGCTTCCAGTTTCTGGACCTGCTTCTTGCCTCCCTTCATGGCGATCTGCTCAGCTTCATCCAGACGGTGCTGCAGGTCCTTGATGGTCTGCTCCATGTTCTTCTTCATGCGCTCCAGATGAGCGCTGGTGTCCTGCTCCTTCTTCAGCTCTTCTGCCATCATGGCAGCATCAGTGATGGCCTTCTTGGCTTTTTCCTCAGCATTCCTGCACTCCTGCACTGCCTCCTCAACCTCAGTCTGAAGCTGAGTATTATCTCCCTCCAGCTTCTTCTTCTGATTCAGCAGACTGGTGTTCTAAACATAGACAATATTGACATTCATATAGTTTCTAGATGATATTGTGAGGGTTGCTACTTGTGTTTGTCTAGTACAGAGCTGTCATACCTGAGAATGCAGGAGCTGAACTCTCTCACTGACATCCAGCAGTTCCTGCTCAGCCAGTTTCCTTCCTCTCTCAGTCTGTTCCACCAGGGATCTCAGCTCATCCAGTTCAGCCTGCAGCAGATTGTTGCGTCTCTCCACAATGGCGATGTTCTCTTTGAGATCATCATTACTGCGAAGAGCGTCATCCAGCTGCAGTTGGACATCCTGGAAAAAAACAAGTGTTACAAACGAAAATACTGAAGAATTTTGTTAAATTTTCACTTTTTTAACTAACAACATTTTGGTTTAAAACATAATCTAGCATACTTTGAGATGTCCATGAAGACCCTTGAGTTGCTTCTGGGCTTCTGAAGCCTGTCTGTTAGCCTGGCTAAGAACTTAGCCTTTAAAAAGTACTAATAAGTTTGATTTGTTTATTCTTTTCAAGAAGTTCTAGTGCAGTGGTCGCCAACCCGTTGATTGCTATCGACTGGTTGAGCTCCCAAAAATAACAGAAAAATACATTACATTTCTCCAGTCTGTGTAGTGTATTTTTAATTATACTTATTTTTCTGTTATTTTCGAAAGCTACTGGGACAGTGATAAAGAAAAATACATCATGCCTGAGTCCGTAAACAGGATGTTAACAGAGGCCAGACACGCTGAAGACGGACGCAAAGAGGAGAAAATACTGTAGCAGGCAGAGCAAACTCGCTGCTCAAAATACAGGAAGAAAATATAAATATTGAATTGGGGGTGAGTGGTTATATGAATATATCACTGAAAGGAACTGACTGTCTTCAGAAAAGTTTTGATTGCAAATGCAATTGCATTTTCTTCTCCTCTTACCTCCGTATAAAGTAGTACTTATAAGCACAATGCTGCTTTGTTTACAGCGGCAACCAAGGAAACACTGTATCGTTGCTGTTACATAAGGGCCACCTGCTGTCAGAGAGTGAATTTGCATCTCATTCAGCCCGTCTGCTGTTTCTGTTTCATGCAGATATGTTTTATGTTGCATAATTTCACAAAGATAAAGTCAGATCGTTCCGTTTTTGCTTTAAATTTTTAAATTATACAATCTAATTAAAATCAAAGCAACTGCTCATGCAACATGTGTGTAGCATCTTTGTTGGATCATGATTAAAATGCAGTGGTTGCCTCTAATTTCAAATGGCTACAGATATTTTTGTTTAAGGCCAGTTTGTTTGTTATAGAGCAAATAAACAATAAATAAATTTGCTTTAAAAAAATCGGCTAATTTGCTGGTTAAAAACAAAACATCATGAAACATCATGATCGGTGCATCACTAATTAAAATACTAAATAAAAGGCTTCAAATTGGAAGGACAATCTGGGCTGTCTTTTTCTATCAGTTCTTCAATAGGTAGATATTGTCTTTCATAAAAGCTGAGGTCAGGGATATTGGGCTTAAAAGGTTGGTGACCATTGTTCTAGTGTATAGCTGGAAAAACTAGACCTGCTACATCTACACATAACACAATTTACCTCAGCTTCCTCCAGAGCTGCTTGAATTTCAGTTTTTTCCTGCTCCAACTGCTTACGAATTTTCTCTAGTTCATGAATGTTCTTTCCACTCTCACCAATTTGTTCAGTGAGATCAGCAATCTCCTCTGTTTTTTAGGGAAGATAATATAGGTTAATGCATAAAAAGTCAAGAGAAATATTTACATTTTGTGATATGTGAATTCTTAGATGACTAATAAACAAAGGGCACCTTGGAGGTTCTTGTTTTCTCTCTTCATGGTCTCCAAATGATCCAGAGACTCCTCATAAGAGTTCTTCAGTTTGAACAGTTCAGTGCTCAGAGATCTGGCTTCCTTCTGGGAGCTTTCCAGCTCACTCTGAGACTCCTCATATTTCTGCTTCCATTCAGCTAGGACCTGTTTGATAGTTTCAAAGACTTTGATTAGCTACCATTGGAGATTGATGAATACTGAAAGATTATTTATCTATAAGTAAGCGTGTTTTATTCACCTTGTCAAAGTTTCTTTGCTTCTTGTCCAGAGCAGCAGCAGCAGCATTGGATCGCTCCACATCCACCATGAGATCTTCAATCTCATTCTGCAGCCTGTGCTTGGTCTTCTCTAGTGAGGAGCATTTAGCATTGACTGCTTCCACAGCTTCTTCAGCATCTTGCAGACGCTGGGCAAGTTTCTTCCTTCATGAATAACAGAATCAGTCAGATGTTTGTATGGTATGCTACATGGAAAACCCAAGTATTTCTTGTTCATACTTAGCATCCTCCAGCTCCTCAGTCCTCTGGATGGCATCAGTTTCATACTTGGTTCTCCACTGAGCCACCTCAGAGTTTGCCTTGGACAGACTACGCTGCAGCTCAGCTTTGGCTTCCTGCTCCTCCTCATACTGTTCCCTCAGCAGATCAGCATCATGACGAGCAGACTGAACTGCATGAGCCAGGGCATTCTTAGCCTAAAAGATATTTAAAATTAACGTTTTCTGTTATGGAGAATGGCCCATAGCTGTAGCATAAGACTAGTCTCTTTGAGGGGTGTGGGTTTGAATCCTGCTGCTCCTAGAAGAGCTTATTGGGTGACAAGGCAGTGCAGTAATTAAGGTGAATGACTTTGTGGGTAGTAGTAGTTGCAATACCTTGACTTCCTCCTCTAGTTGTCGTTTGAGGTCCTCAATCTGCTGGGTGTAGGACTGCTTGCCTCTTGTTAGCTGAGAGACCAAGGAATCCTTCTCTTCCAGCTGTCTAGAAAGCTCCCCTAAATAGAATTATAACCATTATATTACAGAAAGTAGTGTGTGATCTTAGGAATGTGTTAAAAAAAACAACAAATAAAGTAATAGCCTATCAGAGTACATACCATTTTCGGTTTGCAACCTAGCTTTTTGCATGGTAAAGTTATTGATGCTGCGTTGTCCTTCTTCGTATTTTGTTCTATATTCTGACATCTGGTCCTCGAGGGTCCTGCACATTTTCTCCAAGTTTGCCTGGATACATATCATATAAATGAATATGAAATACAGAAGAAAGAGCACATGATTCTAAAGAACAGCTGAAGTGAAGACAAGTAAAAATGCTAATGTGGAAACAAGTATTCATCACCTTGGCCTTGGCAAGCTGCTCCATGTTGGAGACCACATCGTCCAGTTCCAGTCTGAGTTCACTCTTCTCTTTCTCCAGCTTCTGCTTCACTCTCTGAAGGTTGTCAATCTGCTCTCCCAGATCAGCTACACTGTCGGCATGTTTCTTCCTCAGTGTAGCTGCAGTGGACTCATGTTGCAGAGTGGACTCTTCAAGGTCTCTGCGCAGTTTCTGTAACTCTGCTTCACGTTTCTTGTTCATCTCGATCTGGGCAGCAGTGGCTCCACCAGCCTCCTCCAGCCTCTCGCTGATCTCCTCCAGTTCTCTGGACAGATCAGCTCTCTGTTTCTCAACTTTGGCACGAGCAGCTCTCTCAGCCTCCAGCTCTTCCTCAAGCTCTTCAATACGAGCCTGGTATTGTAAGGAAAAGCAAAGTTAAAGCTAGAATTCCTAACTGTCCAAATATGTAAACTATTAAGAATGATGAATTTTACCTGCAACTCCTTCAGTTTCTTCTGGAGTTGGGCTGCCATTGCTAGTTCATCTTCAATCTTGCTATTGAGCTGGCTGATCTCAAAATCTTTCCTGTGTTGCAGAAAATATTTAATAAAATATATCAATAAGGACTCTGATTGTTATTAGTATTGTGGTAAAATTATTTCACCCCCTGGAAAACACACTTTTTAATCCTCTCTTCCAGTTGTTGTTTGTCATTTTCCAGGTCCATCACGCTCTCTTGGGTCAACTTTAAGTCTCCCTCGAGCTTCCTCTTTGCCCTCTCCAGGTCCATACGAAGTTTCTTTTCCTGTTCCAGGGAACCCTCAAGCTGGAAGGACAATAGTATTTAGCATTTTTGTTTCATGGTTAATTTACTTCAGAAGTATCAACAAACTACTCACATCATCCACTTGTTGCTCCAGCTTGGCTTTGGCTTTAGTGAGTGTGTTGACTTTGTCTTCCTCACTCTGGAGGTCATCCAGCGTTTGCTGATGGGCCTCCTGCAGAGCTTTCTTCTCCTTGGTCAGCTTAGCAATGATCTCATCCAAAGCTGCCATCTCTTCTGTCAGGTTTTTAACCTACAGAATTGTGTAATTGTATCAGGAGACTCCTAGCAAACCAATCTTACATCTCAGACATGTTCAGTGTTGAAAACTGACCTTGTTTTCAGTAGCATGTTTCTCTTTCTCCACTTTGGCCAGAGTGAGTTCAAGATCATCAATGTCCTTCTTGAGCTCAGAACATTCATCCTCCAGCTTTCGTTTCTTGGCAGTCAGCTCAGCATTCATTTCTTCTTCATCCTCCAGTCTCTCAGTCAGCTCTTTGACTTTGGCCTCAAACTGGATCTTGTTCTTGATCAGACCCTCACATCTCTCCTCAGCATCGCAAAGATTATCTTGCTCCTGTTTACAGATACAGAAAATTATTTATATTCATACTAATGTCTTTGTAACTATACTTTTTAATTACACATTTTATTCATTGATTCATGAAATCATGAACTTACAGCTTGGACTTGAAGTTGTAGGTCGTTCTTCTCTTGGAGAAGAGTAACCATCTTTTCCTCAAGCTCCTTTCTGCGAGCTTCAGATTTGGCATAAGCCTCCTTCAACTTCAGGAATTCTTCCTTCATGTTGGCCATCTCTTTCTCTGCTTCAGCAGATCTCAGCAGCGGTTTGATCTTGAAGTAGAGCTTCATCCAGGGCCAATTCTTGACACCCATGAAGGCACGTACGTTCCACTGGATCACAAGCAAGGCATCTCTGCCAAATAAAACAGTTTCTGTTCCTTTTGTCTCTTTCTATTGTGTATTGAAAGATTTAGATGCCCACCCAGTTACCTTCGTTCAACAAGCTTCTGGAACTCAATTCTTGAGAGAAGACCACGTGATCTAGCTTGAAGATTGGTGATGATGAGAGCAAGACGCTCGTCTCTCATTTCTTCAAGGGTACCCAGCAGACCAGCCTTGAAGAACACCTTTAAAAAGATGTTATGTCAGTGACCTATGATTAACACATAGACAGAACAGGCAGTCTGTCAAAGTCATTAGTGCACAAACAAACAGATAAATGCTGAAATTGCCTTAGAGCCATGGTACGCTTTTCACGTATGTCAGCCTTTTAGTTCCTTACTTTTACAGCAGTTGTCTCAGCACATTAAACTGGGATAGACGAACATATTATAAAACTGAAAAATAGGGGTTGCACCGACTAATTAACTAGTCGACTTCAGTGCTCTGCCATGATGCTTTAAGCTTGACGTCGACTAGTCGCTGGTCCTATAGATGGCGCAGCAGTATAAGAAATCTTTGAAGGACTTCCACATTTATGCTCCGTTTCCAAACAGTTAAAATGACAAATAAATGCATACTCTGAAAGCGCTCCACAAGACATGTGTGATTATAGTACTGGATGATCGAAATGTAACGCACATACATAGGCTACAGACAGTAGCTCGTACATCTCATTCAGCACGGAAATGTACTGTCAACACTGTTCTGTGATTTCTCAATAAAATAGCTTAGAAACTGAAAAGTTCAAACATATATTTCTTAATAACTAAATCCCACAGCTTCACTACTACAGTCGTGGCCAAAAGTTTTGGCAGTGGCATAAATTTTGTGTTTTGCAAAGTTTGCTGCTTAAGCTTGTTGTGGTGTTCATTCACATTGTTTCTAGATTATTGTGTATTGTGTTGGATCATCAAGAACTTCAAGGAGAGAGGTTCGACTGCAGTGAAGAAGTCTTCAGGATGTCCCAGAATGTCCAGCAAGCGCCAGGACCGTCTCCTCCTGAGGAGTCAGCTACGGAATCGTGTCACCACCAGTGCAGGGCTTGCTCAGGAATGGCAGCAGGTTGGTGTGAGAGCATCACAAGGTGTTTGTCACAGCTCCAGACTTATTTGTTCATTAATGACGTCATCAGCGACTAGTAAACTTCAACTCGACTTTCATCACATAAAAGTCGACTTTAAAAAATCAGAAGTCGTTCAACCCCTACTGAAAAAACTACATACAGAATTACATAAATTCTAATTCTAAACAAATACCTTAGTATGTCCAAACTTGTACTGGTTGTGGTCAATATCCAAAGAGCCCAATAACTTCTCAGCTCCTTTCCTGCTGTCAATGAACTGACCGTCTGGGATGGTAGCAGGGTTCAGGATACGATATCTGTTGTTGCATAATAGTTGGATAATATTGGATAATAATTATTTTTGGTGAAGTGCATACATTTTTCACCCAAGTGCAACTCAGATGTCCTGTATTCATAAGTGAATGTACCTCTGCTTGAAATCTCCATACAGGATCCTGTTGGGGAAGCCCTTTCTGCAGATTCTGATGCCCTCCAGCACACCATTACAGCGCAGCTGATGCATGACCAGAGGATTCTCCATCGCCCCAGGAGTCTTAGTCTCATTTGGAATGATGCAGCGCACAAAGTGAGGGTGAGTTGACCTCAAGTTGGTCATCAGCTTGTTCAGGTTCTCCTGTTGGTAGATATTATCAATCACTCTGCCAACATATATTTTAGGTTGTCATACTCATTAAAGAGATTAAGAAACCAAATCATACTATATTACGGAAATCATTTTAGTGTGTAAAACACTATATGTTACCCGGTGAAGAGCAGACACGGTCTGGAAAGAAGAGCCCTTTTTCTTCTTCTCCTTTATTTTGCCGCCACCTTCCGCCAAGGCTGTTGCAAGAAATAAACTGTTTTTTCTTAAAAATTAACCTTGAATCAAATTCTTAATTGTCTCAGATTTTTCCCCCTTTGACATCAACAAAAAAAAAACACACCTGAGTCAGCACTAGCATAATTAGCAAACAGGTTAGACAACAGTTTCATGGTGGACTTCTGATACAGGCCAACAACCGTCTCATTAAGAGGGTCCTTGTTCTTCACCAGCCAGTTATTGATGTTGTAGTCAACTGTGCCAGCGTAGTGAACCAGGGCGAAATGAGCTTCTGGTTTACCCTTGACAATCCTGGGCTTCTGGAAGTTGTTTGATTTCCCCAAATGGTTATCATAAAGCTTAGCTTTGAATGTTGCATCACTGGCTTTGGGGAACATGCACTCCTCTTCAAGAATGGACATGATACCCATGGGCTATAGAGAAGGCAGGTTTATACATTAAAACAAACCTTATGTAACTTGAAGCAAAAATGGATATTAAATACAGCTTAAAGATGAGATGTTCAGAAAAAAGGCTTTGTACACCCACCTTTTCAATGAGATCAATGCAAGCCTGCAAGTCCATGCCAAAGTCAATGAACACCCATTCAATACCCTCCTTCTTGTATTCCTCTTGCTCCAACACAAACATGTGGTGGTTGAAGAACTGCTGCAACTTTTCATTAGTGAAGTTGATGCACAGCTGCTCAAAGGTGTTGAACTGCAGGTGGAATAAATTGTATAATCACAATGACAACAGTAGAAAAAAACTAAAGTTCTTAAATAACAGTAATCAGTAGATGTAATCTTACATCAAAGATCTCAAATCCAGCAATGTCCAGCACACCAATGAAGTACTGACGAGGCTGTTTGGTGTCCAGGGATTGGTTGATTCTCACAACCATCCAGAGGAACATCTTCTCGTACACTGATTTGGAAAGAGCACCAGTGGCATAGTACACCTGCCCAATAAACATTAAAATGTTACAGAAAAATAAGCTTTTATGGTTAGGTTAACAGTACGTTAATGATGAGGTGATGTAAATCACAAAGTAGTTTCCACCTGCTGGACATTCTGTCCCTTGGTGACCCACTCATTCCCTACTTTAACTCTTGGGTGGCACAGAGCCTTGATGAGATCAGCAGAGTTCAGGCCCATCAGATAAGCTGATTTATCAGCATCTGACATGAATTAAAAAGAAGGTTGACTAATGAATCTATCAACCAATAACTATGCATCCTGTCAGCATTTTCTCCTGATACCAACCCTCAGTCCCATCAGCCTCTGCCTGTTCCTCGCGTTGCTTCTGCTTGAACTTCATGTTGCCGTAGTGCATGATGGCACCAATCAGCTTGTAGATGCCGTTCTTCTCCTCTTGGGTGAAGCCCAGGACATCAAACGCTTCCTACAGCAAATGTACAGTGTGTCTAATAATTCATTGCATTACATTGAATGTTATATGGACTTCAGTTCTAAAACTTGAGAAGTCAAGTATCAACAGATTTACGCATGTTTTGGATAACGCACATCTGTAGCCATCAGCTCGTCAGCATCATTAATAGAGGCCACTTGTGTCTCTCCTTGAGAGATGAAGGCGTAATCGTAAGGGTTTGCTGTGATCAGCAGCATCTCTGAGAGGAAGAACACAAGTCACTCAGACATCATGTTGTAATGTGTCATAGGCAGGTCTTGCTGTTACTCATTTTTTTGCCCACCCAGCAGCTCCGGTTTCTTCTGAGACAGGATCTGGTAGAAGATGTGGTAATCTCTCTCAGCCTTGAGCTGGAAAGTCACACGAGACTTCTCCAGAAGATCTGTCAAGGAGAACATTTACTTTAAAATCATTAATGCATTGTGCATTATTTTAAAATGGAACCAAGCATTGGTTTTCTTACAAGTTTCTATATCCGCAGAAGCGAGTTTGCCATTTGCAGCAAAGTGAATGCGGATAAACTTGCCCTGTTTAAAAACAAAAAAAATCACCATGTCTTCTGTTAGTAAAAGCAGTTCTTTAGTTTGTTCTACAGTTTTCAACTATTTCATTCACTTACAAATCTAGATGAGTTGTCATTTCTGATGGTCTTGGCATTGCCAAAGGCCTCTAGAGCAGGATTACACTGGATGATTTGATCCTCCAGAGTACCCTAAAAAACACAACATTTGAAATTTGTGTATGATGAATGGAAATTAAACAAAATGCCAGTCCAATAAGTTTTATTTTAAATTCAGATCTTCTCCGTTTACCTTTTTTTCACTGGTCTCCTTCTTTGAAGGACCAGCAGCAATGCTGGCAAAGTACTGAATGACTCTCTTGGTGTTCACAGTCTTTCCAGCACCAGATTCTCCACTTAAGGTTTAAAGGTAACATGTTAAGAACTGCACTACATTTTTTTAAACTATTATAGAAAGTGATAAACAGAAGCAGACTTACGTGATAAGAATCGACTGGTTTTCTCTGTCTGAAAAGGGCAATAACATATGAAATAACATTAGTTACTGTATGTTCTAACCAAACTAAAATTAATGCATTTAATAAAAAGCAACTAACCATATAATTGTGCATAGTTAGAAGCTCGAAATTGATAAACTTCAAAATGGGGAAACCACTTCCAATTATTTTATGTTAGTGTTGTCAAACGTCATATATCAAACTATTTTTCCATTATCTGTCACTTGATAGAAACTAGTCAAATTAGGCAGATGCCAACATGGACAAGTTGTGTGACAGTCTCAAAAACCACAAACAAAACTATGTAAAGTAGAAAAATAGTGCATACGAGAAAATCAGATACAAGTTTCAACACACAGTTTTCATTTATTGGTATTCATTTATTTTGGTGTCAGGTTGATGTGATATCTGGGTCCTAAACTAAAACCAGTCAAGAACCAGTGGTGTCAAGTAGACGCACCTGACAGCATGTACTGGTAGGCGTTGTCAGAGATGGAGAAGATGTGAGGAGGAGCTTCACTCCTCTTCTTTCCTCTGTAGGCCAGAACGACTTCCTGGTTGTACACTGGCAGCCACTTGTAGGGGTTGACAGTGACACAGAAGAGCCCAGAGTAGGTCTGTAAGAGATTCACAGCAGCTTCAGATCTGCTCATACGTGATAAAGTGAAACTGTGAGTGTTTTAAGACTCACGTAGATCATCCAGGCTGCGTAACGCTCTTTGAGGTTATACAGCACAGCGGGCTCATGCAGGAAGGTGAACATCGCCATGTCCTCAATTTTATCAAACTTTGGCGGGTTCTGAGGGTGAATATCAGCTTCTTTCACAGTTACGGTCTGTAAAAAGCAAATATTCCAACAGTTATTACTCAAAACGATAAGTTCCTCTAATGTAATGAAGTAATACTCAAGAGTTCAACTTTTACTTACTTTGCCTTTTTCCGTCTCACAGGTGACTTTATCACCTTCCCGACTCGAAACGGTTCCTTTCACATACTCCTCTGCAGCATCAGGAACAAAACATTCCCTTTTCATGTCAAAGAGGCGAGTTTGGGCCTCCAGACGCTCCCTGTCTGACTTCCTGAGGTACGAAGCAGCAGCTCCAAACTCCGCCATCTGGGCATCCCCCATCTTTCACCCTGCTCAATTAAATTCAATTCAAGTTTATTTGTATAGCGCTTTTTACGATACAAATAGTTGCAAAGCTCACAAGTGCATGCACACAGATTACTATATATATATATATATATATACTGTATGTATGTATATATATATATATATAGGAGCCTATTTGGATGCTTAAGACACATATAAAACCAGATATATACCACAAATTTTAAAGAAACAAAACAAAAACGGTGTATCCAATATTTCACTAAACTCAAACAGTGAAAGCTTAAAAATGTTAAAAAAAATAATAATAATAGTACAATAAATATATAAAAATCAATTTTAAAAGTATCTAAAAATATACAGGAAACACTAGGGTTTTTTTTCCTTACTGCTATGAGGCAAAAAAAAAACACCTCATACATATAAGTTATTAAAAGGTGCTTCAAGCCACAATCAGTCATTTGACCCTTGTTAATGAAGCTATATTGCTGTAAAACCAAATGTACAAATTTCGTTATCAAACACATGCATTACGACCATGAAACACTAATGTGAGGTGCATTACCTCTTGACAGCTGCCGACCCAGAAAGTATTACCACAAAAGCTCCCCTACAAGCAATGCGATCAGAGATAATGGTTCAAAATCCATCACCATGAATTACAAAGTTATTAGAATTCCAAATAGAATTCAAAATATTGATTAAAGAAAGATTTCAGCTTGCTTGGTGACTTTTAAAGAGTTGCATATTACCTGTTCACAAGTTGTAGGCTTGAGGGAAAGTTGAATGGCCGAAGCTGAGGATCCTCTCAACAGTGTGTCCTTCCTCTCTTTTATAAAGCCACTATCCATCTAAATAAGGGAGTTGGCACACTGTTATGCCAAACTGCTATTGTGTTTGGTTCAGCTGAGGTAGGGGAGGGATAAGCATAGTTTTTCATAAGCACCAATCATTCCACCGCTGCCAACAACATCCCATAATGGATAATAATTACAGGAGGACAGTTAAAATCACCAAAGACAAAGCTTTCACCATTAAGTCCTGTTTGTATTCGAAATATGATAAAATCATGATTAAGCATGATTTTTGCCCCCCAGCCAATCTGAAAAATACAACAGCTTGTTGCATCATAAATATGTATAAATGCACATATAATTTTGGAGTTATAAGTATATACCTTTGTTTTTGTTCTAAACTAGCTTTGTAGATGTCTAATAAAGTCACAGGCTAATAACCAGACAGGTAAGTAATCCTAATAAAGTAACTGTTGAGATTCAACCATGGCGTTTGCTTTCTTTCATTTTCTCCTAATGCATCAACATCAGTACATCAACAAAGCACTATTTCTCATATTTTAAAGACACAGACTTCATCTATATCACTTGTTTTGATTGATTACTGTATGCAACAAAAGGAAAAAATGGGGATGTAAACTCTTCATCCAATTTTTGCTATTCATGGAATCATTTTTTATGATGGAATCAATTACTAAGGACAACAGAAGTTTGAAATGTCAGTGAACAACTGTGGTGAACACTGAAGGTCAGTGAGCGACAGATGAGATGATTCCTTGCCTCATTGTCACAGGATCGTCCCCTCATTTGTCCTTGGGTACAAAGATAACCCTGTGAAATTCCTGGAAAGTGACGCCCATTGACTGAGAATCACAGGTTAGCACTTCCATTTATGTAACGCTGTGGAACGCTTCACTGAAAGACAAATATAAACAAAGGAAGAGTTATGGACCACTTTGTTTTATTGCAGTGGTGAAACTAAAGCGGTGATGGCCTTGCTCTGATATCCTGTGCATGCGTCCACCATCACAAGACAAGCGAGACATATGAGGTATCGTCTTTCTGTCGGGTCAAACGTTTGGTTGCCTGCCCAGTACTGCTGCATATGTGCCTCTGTCATGGTGAGATTAAACTAATAAAACACAGTTAGCTTTCTTATTCTGATCTAGTTCTGTTGTTGATCTTTTACTATTGTCATTTGGATGGTTATAGAAACTAAACATTTGAAATCACTAATTAGGGAAGAAGTGTTTGTATAAAGGCTACTTGCCAACAGACAAGTATGGTTTCAATCAGTGTGACAATGAAGAGGAGCTATAATTAGATGTTCGGCCAAGTGAAGGCAACCAAGCAGCAAATGTCAGATGTTAACAAGGTGCAAGTGTTCAACAAGTGAGATCGTTTTCATTGTGCATGCCTTCATAACATCTATAACCAAACCCTCAGAGACTTGAAATCTCCAGGCAAGAATCTCATAAGGACGAGCAGTCGATTGATCTACAGGATTTACAGTACGAGAGAGGTTGCAAGCAGCCAGCTGTCTGAGAATCATAATGGTAATTCAATAGAGCTACGAGGCTAAATTAGTCTCGAAGAGACTATTATTTGATATTGTCTAATGTTATACTGAAATACATTTCTATTTAAGGCTGTCACTAACGATTATTTTGAAAATCGCGAAATCGGATAATGTGGGAACCCTGCATAAGGAATTTTGTTTTTGTATAGTTGATACACTTTTAATAGCGGCTTGTGTAAACATTAGGGGGCGCTATAGTAAAGCTTTGCAGGATAAACAAACTGACCTTTGCGACCATTACAGAATCAGGAGCTGCTGTCCGGAGTGTTTTTATGGTGAATCATTGGCCTCGTCTGAAATGAGCTCACCGACAAAAACTGAAGAGCTAAAAATACGCAAACCAGCAAAATATTGATGGACCAGAGGTACAGCAGAACATTCAACAACACCAAAGTCTGAATGCATTCAGCTTGAGACTTTCAAAGCACATATTCACTTCTAATCACTTGACAAACATACGTGATTTCACCAGATTTTATTTGTAATTAGACTTGATTAAATATTAATAATTACAGCATTGTTTAGTAAGTGTGCAATCATCAGACTTATTACTATTATCCTTTATTATTAACGTAGTAGTAATAATAATAATTCAAATTATTACTAACAATTCAGAACTATTAAGTGCATTTTAAAGAATCTAACACAAAGACGCGTTTACAAGAGAAAGCTACATAACTCATGTTTCCAATGTTCCTTATTTCATAATCAGACTGAAAATGCAATAGGCATAGACTAAATAGAAAGACATCAGACACAAATAAATCCTGACTGTCAACATTCAAATGAACCTGTGCGTTCCTTCCCTCTGCTATCATACTTGTCATCCTCGATGTTTAAGGTAAGGAACAGAGAAATAAGGGATGCTACGAGCAGTGTTATTTCCGTCTGCCTCATTAGAGGAATATTACAGGTTTATTGCAACTTAAGCTGTCAAATTATTCCACAAAATTGTTCTGCCGCCTCCCTTAGTTTGTACAAAACAGGATAAGTGTGCACAGTAAAGAATGGATGTTGCACTAGAGGAGTTAAAAGCAGAAATATGGAGGATATATTTTTTGTAATTCGCTTCTGTAATTCATCTGCGACAAAAAATAACACCTGGCTGTGCAATAGAGACATAAAATGCCATGAGAGGAGAACTGAGGCGGCCCACGCAACCCAAAGCCATGACCGCTCCCACACCACTTCCTCTGTGGACACAACAATGGGACGTTAAAATCGCCACTTTCGTGGTGCGTTTCTAAAGCAATAAGCCCCAAGAAGATGTGGTTTACAGTGAATTTATAACAGCTCAGGGGCGTTAGTTGTTGGGCTTATTGCTTTTATAAAACGGTTATAAGCAGTACGGTTTCACAAAATAAAACAGAGCAAATAAAGTGTAATGATATTAATAAAAACAGTATTCTTCCACCAAACAATGTAGTTCCTCAGAATCAGTTGTGGTTGAAACAAAGTGGTTGCCGAGCAAAACACAAACGTAAACAAAGGTGTATGTTACT